AGACCAGAGGAGTGCAGAAGGGGGCTCCTCTCTGGCCAAAGGAGCCTGACAATCAAACAGAGTTTATGGTTAGCTAACCTTACATCATTGGGATTGGAGAGAGCGTAGAACCTGAGGATGGTGGCCCTGAGACAGGACTGGAGATAATAGGGCCCAGTAGGAAAAGGTACATGGAAAATAGCAGCGAAGAATTGAAGTGAGCAGTGTGTGGCTGCTGTGCATAGGGTCCCTGCATTGGAAAGTGGAGTAATGGGTGGGCCCGGGTTCCCCTATCGGCCACAGGTAAAGTGGCATAAACCCCAATAATGGGATAGGGCTGATTTGGGAGCCCAAGCAAAAGGCTGAATTTAAGAGGCCCAGAGCTGGGCTGAAGACCCTAGCAAGGGCAAAGAGACTGGTGATTTGTTGGGATTCATTTGGACTTCCTGACTTCTCTGGAGGGCCAAGCCACTGAAGATCAGCCATGGTCGGTCAGCACCCTGCAGGGGACACAAGAGCAAGAAAAAGGACAGTGGTACCACACCCCACTGCTCAGAGGCGCTCGAGAGGTTCGTGCCCCATTAAAGGGCTAAACCAATAGCAAAAGGGGAGGGTAAAAAGAGGGAAGATATGAGCACAGCTCAAAATCAAGAGGTTGAGAACAAAACTAATCATGGAACCAAAGGACATGAAGAAAAGGAATTCTTGAATTGCCTTTATACCAATGCTAGGAGCCTAGGTAACAAATGAGGGATTGGAATTGCTCGTTTATTAGCATAAATTGGATCTAGTTGGTATTACTGAAACCTGGCTGGATGATTCCCATGTTAAAATCAATGGTTCTAAGCTCTTTAGGAAGGATCAAGGGGGCATGAGCAGTAGGGGAGTTGCATTCTATGGCAAACATTCCATTACCTGTTTCCAAGTCACTGATAAGTTGAAAGAAAATGATCTTGAATGCTTGTGGATCAATGTCCTAACAGATAAAGCACAAGCTGGGGTATTAGTTGGTGTCTGCTACAGACCATCAGATAACAGTAGGGAACAGGATGACCGTCTCCTTCTCCACTTATCTGTAATGAGTATGAAAAAATACTGGGTAATCACACACAAAGAACCAAACTCTGCTCTTGGAAACACACAAGCAACTCCACTGCCTTCAATGGGAACTGAGTGCATGTGTCTAATGACAGAAGAGCCCCCTAAAGATGCAAATAGGTGATTTGGGAGCACTTGTAGGACCAGATAGAGGCCCCATCTGAGATCACAGCCCCATTGTGCCGGGTGCGGCGCTGACACGCAATGCGACAGTCCCTGCCCCACAGAGCTCACAGGCTCAATAGACAAGAGAGACACGGGAAGGGTTATTATCTCCATTTTAAAGAG